ATGAGAAGCATTAACTTTTGGAGCTAAGGAGCCACGCACAGACAGCTCCCTTTGTCCTGCCTATTCATTAAGGTCTTTGTCAACTTTAAATCCCAAGTTAAAAATAAATATCATTATAAGAAGATTGGAAACTTACACTGATGTCAATAGTCTTACATGTGGATTTTAAAGCACCTCAAGGTTATATACAAGATTCTGTGTTTCCCCTTTCAAAACTCCTTTTAATGTCTAATTGCTTTGGGTGAAGTGTCATGAGATGCCATTAACCAGAAGGAGCCTAGGAAGTCATGAAAGTACAGAAGCCCCTGCCTAGCACTGGGTGAGGTAGAGAATTCTAGAGTGGGCATCAGAAGGCCTGCTCCCAGTCCTGGGGCTTTATCTTGTTATTGTGTGTGTTCTTGGGCCCTGGGCCCATGTGTCTCTCTGGGTCTCGAGGCTCTCTTTTCAAAATGAGGACTTGATTTCTCAGTCTCCTCCCCTGACTCCCTCCAACACAGTATCAGAGATTATGTGAGTTTATGAACTAAGGATCTGAGAGATTAAATGGTCGAAAGAAGTTCCTTCATTCTGGCCTCCCGAAGTCTCACTTGGGTGTTTGTGATCCTGCTTTGTAGTCAGGTGATAACAATATGAGTAACTGTCATTTATGGAGAATTGCTGTGTGCCAGGCATTGTCTGCTTTTCAAACTCTCATGGCCCTGTGAGTAGAAGAGACCAATGTCAACCTTATTGTAAGATGAGAACACCGACGTTCAGAGCAGTAAGTACCTTATCCGAGGTCACACAGCAAAGAGGAGGGCTTCTGCCGCTCTCTAGTGTGAGCTTGTGGTTGTTTCAGGTGGGCTCCGCCTCGTCTTGGTATCATCTCAAGCCACGGGCCCTGGAAGTTTTCCAGTTTAAAAGTAGGATTCCTCCTGCTTTGAGGTCACACATCTATCGGGTGCTGACACCTGTTTAAATTTGAGTTCTTGTTCAGGACATCTGCTGTGTATTAGGAGAACTTTGTTCAACCTAAAGAATAGCCCCTGTGGGAGTTGCAGGCGACCTAAGTCCTTGAAAGGCAAGGTTTTTCTTTGGTGAACTGAAGCCACAAGCTGGGTCACTGTGAGCATAAGTGGGACCGTTGAGAGCAGAATCCAGTCCTTCGGTGTGGAAGCTGGTGGGATGGGAAACGTGGGTGGGCTTTGAAACAATCAGGTAACCTTTCCCTTTTGGGTTTGCCTGGAGGGTTGGTTCTAAGGGCTTTTCCCTAGGCAGGTTATTGGACCTAACAAAGTGAGTGCCTCCCTGGCTTATCCTAATAGTTGAGAATGGCACAGGGCGAGCGGAGCCCTCGTCAGTCATAAGCTTACTGGGGATTTGAGATTTAAACCCACCCCTCAGAGCCCTCCTGCAGTAACCTTTCAGAATCACAAGAGGCGTTTCTGAGTTTTGTTTCTTACAGCTGGTGTAAGCTGGCCTGTTTTCTTACGCAATTTTAAATTCTTTTTTACATCTACTGCTATCTTTTAAACACTGTTCCTGAAGATGGTTATGTTTATCATTTGGGGTTTGAAATAGAGAATTTAAAAATCTTCCCATTGAAAAGACTAACTATACAATGATAATCACTCATTCAGTAAAGATTTGAGCATCTACTGGAGCCAACCATTGTGCCTGTCGTTGGAAATCCAGTGGGGAGCAAAGCAGATGTGGTCTCTGCGGGCACATAGCACATTATCTAGTCCAGACAATAAACAAGTCAAGAGATGTATACACTGTGTCTATAGATTACATTGTGATAAGTGGATAGGCTTCTTCCTCTGAAGGGGAAGAACAGGGCACTGGGAAGGAAGAAAGGGAGGGAGCTAGCACCTGGGAGTGTCCAGGAAAGTATTTCCAGAGGAGCAGCCTGTAGAAAGTATGGCAGGGGGAGGAGAGGAGGAGGGAGGGCTTGAGGAGGTAGGGGGAAGACGAGTCACAGGGAGAACTGTGCAATGTAGAGATGAAGAGCCCGGGCTCAGGAGCCAGGCACTTCTTCAGGGGACTTGGGGATTTCTTAGGCTCCTGGTGCCTCAATTTCCCACCTCCAAGTGGCCGTTAGGATTGAAGGAGCTGATGTCTGGGAAGTCTTGAGAGCAGTGCCAGGCACATACAAGAAGGGCTGGGGGTAAGGGTTTGCTGATTCTCACACAGTGGGGATCTTGACCTGGAGTGGATGAGCTTCTGTTCTTGGTCAGCATTTTCCATCATTCCATGTGTAAAGTAACCGCAGGGCTGAAGATGAGATGGAGATGGCTAATATGCACATCTGCTGGATGCATTCTAAGGTAGCTTGGTGTTGGACGCTCTGTGATGCGCTAACCACTGAGCACATGTGGCTGGGGAGCACCTGCCGTGGAGCCCCAGCCCCATCTGCTGTGGGTGCCATGTTCAGCCGGAAGCGTTGTTCCTCAGCTCCTTCCTACAGTTGTCTGCTTTGGTGTTTGATATGGAAGGTAGACTTTTTAGCCTCCCCCCCGCCCCCCACCCATAAGAGGAGGCAGAGGCCAGTGGCCTCATTACCAGGTGATCAAAGGTGACAACTCAGAGTTGCTAAGTGCAGTACCCGCCTGAACTCATGCCCGATGAGATTTGGTGTGGTGCTTTCTTGGGGAAACAGCCACACCTCGGGATCATACAGGAGGAAAACTTCATGAAACGAGTCACTGGCTTTGGTTCTTTGGCCTGGTTTGGGATGTTCAGTAAAATAGTAGAAACCCAGCCATATCAGAGTTTGTAATTATCCTAGAGTATTTTTTTAGAACTGATCAAATTTGTATATAATTGCATTAGTTTCTTTAAAAAAAAAACTTATTCTGGAAACATTTTTTAAATTTACAAAAGTAGAGAATAATATAATGATCCTCATGGATCTATCATTGTTTCAATAATTATCGACATTTTGCTAATCTTGTTCCAAGATAGTTTCAATTTGAAGCATTGTTGGTGGATTTTCTGTCACAGTATAAATGTATCTTTGGAATATAAAATTATATGGTAGATATGGTCCTAGAGGAAAAAAAAATTACTGCATGCTGCCTAATTACAGGACTGGTGTTAGTAGTTGAAATTCAGAATCCTAAATGAACATTTCTTGCAAGCCCGCATAGACTTGCTCATGAAAAGTAGGCATCCCTGACCCGACTGCATATGGAAGACTATAACCTTGGGGTCTCAGATTGGAGCCCCATTCTTCCGATGATATACTCAGAATGATGCCTCCTGAGGCTGGGACAGGAAGCCCATCCAGACTAGAGGGCCACCCTTGCAACTTGGCAGGAGAATGCATTTCAAGTCTGGGTCAAAGACACAGAACATGCTTCTTTTGTAAGATGGGCCTGAACCCACTGGACAGCTCCAAGGATGGATTCCCATGGACTCCTTTCCCCCTTATTTCCCTTTCTGGATTATTCTACTCTAAAAACTGTTTGATTCCTTCAATGAACCCAAATTTTAAAGAGCATATCTTAAGTTTCCCCTTGTCTTCTACCATGCTTGCATTCATTCCTTCATTCCTTCATTCATTCATCACCCAACAAACAGTTGAGGAGGTTGTGCAATGGGTCAGATAGTGTGCGGTATACAGCGGTGAGCAAAATTGACAAGGTCCTTGCCCTCCTGGAGGAAGGAGAAAAGCAGAGGTCTACTAAAAAATATGTCCTAAGAAATAGAAGTGCTACAAAGGACAAGTGCAAATGGGAGTGAGGTGAGGGGGTGGAGCTGTTTCCTGAAGAGGGAGCAGGTGGTTCAGTTCCTGAAAGGCCTAGTTCCTTTCCTCCTGGGAACAGAAAGGTGCTTGGAATATAATAAACCAGGAAGAGAGAGGCACGGGCCCAGCTGAGGCAGAAGGCAGGAGGGGCTAGACCATATAGCACTTTTCAGAACATGGATCTTATTCCATGAGCCACAGGAAGCTCTCATAGGGTTTTGAGCAAGGATGTGGTGTGCTCATATTAGGATTTTTTTTTTTTTTTTAACCTTGTTTTTAAGTAAGCTCTGCGCCCAATGTAGGGCTTGAATGCGAGACCCTGAGATCAAGAGTCTCATGCTTTGCTGACTGAGCCGGCCAGGTGCCCCCATATTGGGAAGTTTTAAAACCACTTCCACTGCAGTGGGGTGAATAGATGAAGTCACTGTGGGGAGAGCCGTGAGGGGGTTGCTGTTGTCTTCCAAGCAAAAAGGTGGTCGTTAGGACCAGACTGGTGGCAGCAAGATTGGAGAGAGAGACCATTCAGGAGAGGTTTAAAGATAAAAATCACAGCACTTGGTTAAGGACTAGGTAAGGGCCAGCTTGCGTTTGCAGTGAAAAGAAATGTACATTACTTCAGGCAGAAAACATTGGCTGTGCATACTCTGCAACTCACTGGTTCCCTTGGCACCTATTTTTCAGAATTTCTAGATAAATTTAAAGCTGTTCTCCTTACTTGCTCTTAAATCTATTCTTGAAAACGGTCATCCACTTTTGAAACATATTCATCGAGCATCTACTATGTGCTGGGGAGAAATAAGTGAGCAAGACAGCCCAGGCCCTCAGCCCATCTCCTCTGCACCTCTCCGTCCTCCAGGCTGGGGTTGCCTTACCTCCTGAAACCTTCATATGGGCCACGTTGCAAGGGCTTCCTGTCCCAGCCTCAGGAGGCATCACTCTCGTTGGGTATGTCATCAGCAGCACAGGGCTCCGAATTGAGGCCTCAAGGTTAGAGTCTTCCATATGCAGCCCACAGTCAGGGACATAGTAGTCTTCCTCTCTATCTAGAAGGTAGGGATTGTGCCCGGTCATATTTGTATCTCCTCCCTCTCACACTCCCCCCCCCCCCCATCAGCAAACCAGAGTGCTCTGCCCTTGGAGGTATTCAGCAGGTGTTTGTTAATAGCCCCTGGTACTACTCAAGAATAATGCTAGGTGGGCCCTAAAGAGGGCTCTGGACAGCAGTAGGAGGGGAAGAATCTTCCTGATGTTGGGAGAATACCCGTTGGAGAGAACGGAGGCAGTTGTGTTTAGACCTAGCCCTGCAGATGGGCAGACTTGCCCTTCCCTTGAGGCCAACTTCTAGATGAGGGGAGGAGTCTTCCTCCTCAGATCACCTGTCACGTGGGAGGGAATCATAGGAGACATCTGGGTCTTCACCGGAACTTTGAAGTTCTAAATAGGAAATGTACTTGAGGCAGAGAAGGTGGTTAAATTTCCTTTACAACTTTTGTGATTGTGATTCTGAGAGAGAAAACTGATGTGGGATGTCATTAGCTGGTTTCCTAGGTAACTTTTTTTTCCCTTTGTTTTGTTTTGGAAGAAGGGATTGGGTCCCTAGACCAGGTCCTCTGATAACCAGAGAGGAGGCATTTATTGAAGACAAGAGTGATGTGTTTTCTGGGAGACTTGCAAATCTGGTTGGGATGGCTTTAAGGTGAATATTAAGGGGATAGAAAAGTATAAAAAAAAAAGTATACAGGAAATTTGCAGAACAAAATGACATAGAGACGTCTGCGACTCAGCCGCAATGTGGGCACCAAAGTGGTGCCCAGAAACTCTCAAGTGGAAATTAGCACCAAAAGCTGCTTGAGAACAGCGTGGAGGGAAGGGGTCAGGAATCTGTCAGCTCATGCCTGGGCGTGAGCAGCCAATGTCTCCAGGCACTGGAAACCTTAACATCACTGCCAGGTAAATAAGTGATCTGCTGGTAGGTCGGATTGGAATAGAGCAAAGTAGTATTGGTGCATCTGGCCCCAGAGAAAATCCTAGGAGAGACTCCTCTGTGTGCCTTGACCACAGAAGGCTGGCAGCAGGCCTTCCAGTCGTGACGCCAAGAGCAGGTATGTATTGTAGGACGGCCTGTCAGACTGAGGTGGCAGTGATTTTGTTCCATAGGCAGATCTTAAAAGAAGCCCCTGGCAGATGTAGTAGATCGTGAAGACGTTTGTAGGTGAGTGTTATTAGAAGTGGACCACGTGGTAAATTTTAACACTACCTTGCTGATATTTTGCCTCTGAGAGCTGGTAGAGGGAAGTGTGTGTGTGTGTGTGTGTGTGTGTGTGTGTGTTGGTGGGGAGGGGCGCTGTTTGGACCTAATGATGACAAATAAGGAAAAGCCGGTTGACGGTGTGGATAGGGTAAAGGGAGCCTGTGACCGTGGCTCAGAAATAAGCCCAGAGCTGGGGTTTAGGCAGGCTGGCTCCACAGCCCCTGCTCTTGGAACATCTCCTACCTCCTGTTTCCTTTGATAAAAAGAATGGAACTGCTCCTCCCATTAGCTGTACAGGAACCGTCTTGGTGTCCTCAAATCCACATGCCTGTTGGAAATGACCTCTCGAGTATCAGGCTATAGCTATGAGTAATTTGATGTGACTCCTCTTTGGTCTCCCATCTGCCTCAACTGCCCCCCCTCCCGACCCTCACCCTCCCCGGAAGAGTTAAGAGTAGAAACTGCAGTACCTGTCCTAGAAGTCTGAAGGGAGTTGTCCTCAGGGAAAGTTGAGCTGCTTGCCCTGGCTAAGTTCAGAGGCAAGATCGAAGTGGAAAATAGGAGTAGTAGAAAACCCATGGGAAAGGAGTTGCTTTTGTTTTAATTTCTCAGGGTAGGCTAATGTCTGTGGGGATATGATGAGTGGTATTCGATCCTGTTGGGGTAGTAAATAGTAAATAGTAAAGCAGGAACATTAATTTTTTTAAGGCTAAAACTCCCAACAGAAATGACTATTGATCATACTCTGAGCCAGAGACTAAACTCGTTTGGTCAGTCTAGCTTTTGTCTTAAGGTTTGACTGCGATCAAGAGGGGTGTTGGCAGAGGCTTAACAGCCTGAAGCGAATTTTATTTGATGAGGTCTGATTTGTGGCATGAAAGTCTTATGGAAGGAAAAAACCTATCTTGAGTTTCTGAATTAGGTGATAGAGTTGCTTTGGCAGCAAATGTAGGAAGGGCAGGGCCCAGAATTTTCTGGGGCAGGTGATCAAGAGGTCCTTCCAGCTATACGAATTTATAATGCCAGAAGTGTTAATCTCAAAAAATAGAATTTTAAACATGTTTAAATTATATGTGGGCACCAAAGTGGTGCCCACAGCCTAGAAGTCTTCCAGGAATTTCAGGTTTAGCTATTTCTAAGTCCTAGCTGGATTGTGGCCTAAGAATTTTAGCCATTTTGTGTGATCTGTCAGAGTTGATCCATTAGCTGCAGTTTCCCCTCCCAGAAACATCCTGCTGCTCCTTCTGGGCTCCCTTGAACAGCACTGCACAGAGGGGTTGGGCACTGTTGGTTGGTAAATGTTCAGTGAGATGGGTACTTTATAGCAAGCTAAGGAAAAAGTGATTTTTTTTTTTTTTGGCCATGTTTTTCTATTTTAGGAGATCATACAGGTGCCCCAGTTGGTGTTTAAAGAGGAAACGAGAGGTTTTTGCCACCGTAAAGCAGAGTGGTTACCTGGGTCAGCCCTGTCCGTACTTTTGCCCGTTGTCGTAAGGTGCATATCCATCTCTCTCACTGGTGTGATGCTATTGCTTAGGGAGGGAGTGACCCTGCGAGACAAGCAGGAAGCCCTGAAACTAGCTTTGGAACCTTTCATCCAACCAGCTTGTTGGTTTCAAGACAAATTCTTTGGGGCTTGAGAAAGGACTCATCAAATGGGTTATCCCCACATTGAGTTAACATGGGCTGGGTATCCAGTGATCCCTTGAGCATTCAGCAGATAATGCTGCTCCCAAGACAGTGGCTGTGCTTGGGGACTGTCACGGGGCAGGTCCAGACTCTCTCTGGCAGTGAAAGTCAGTTTTCTGTGAGTCTCTTAAATGAGAGTCTCTTAAAAGTCTTCACCCACTTTGTCATTCTTTTTAAGGAAGGTCTTGAAGAATCTTTTTTTTTTTTTTTTTAAAGATTTTATGTAGTTATTTTGAGAGAGAGAGAATGAGAGACAGAGAGTATGAGAGGGAGGAGGGTCCGAGGGAGAAGCAGACTCCCTGCCGAGCAGGGAGCCCGATGCGGGACTCGATCCCAGGACTCCAGGATCATGACCTGAGCCGAAGGCAGTCGCTTAACCAACTGAGCCACCCAGGCGCCCAGGTCTTGAAGAATCTTAAAGCAAGTAGTTGCATAGCATGAAACATGATACATTCTTTTTTTTTTTTTAATGTTTTATTTATTTATTCATGAGAGTCAGAGAGAGAGAGAGAGAGAGGCAGAGGCAGAGGGAGAAGCAGGCTCCCCGCCTAGCAGGGAGCCCGATGCGGGACTCGATCCCAGGACCCTGGGATCATGACCTGAGCTGAAGGCAGATGCTTAACCATCTGAGCCACCCAGGCGCCCGAAACATGATACATTCTTAATTAAGAAATGGTTATTTAGATTTTTTTCTTCCTGATTAATAGCTTAGAAGTCAGTGTGCCAGTTTTTCTTTCTTTTTTAACTTAGGCAAGCACTTGAGTATATTTTGGAATATTTGCTTTTCAATTTTTTTTGGTGGTTTGTAGCATGTCTAGAAAGGAACCACCTATTTTCCCATTAAGGTCTTGGCCCAGGAGTAAAAAAAACCCCATGAAGCTTTGGGAGGCACTAAGGACTGTTGTTTTCTTGAGGCAGAATTTCACTTTGCTCTCTCTCTTGTCCTGCCCAGACTTCTAAAAGACCACACACCCACCATCCAAAGGTTGTACATCAAAACTTTATACTTCTTCCTCAGAATAATGTAATGAGTTCTTTAAATCAGGGTTTTTAACCTTGAGGAAGAGAAGGGAGAAGTCTGTATCTGCTTGCAAATTGAATGTGAAATCTTGCGGGTATTTGTGTACTTATATTTGGTGGTGGTAGGGTCTTATGTTCATTAGGCTTTCAGACAGCTAAAGTCTCTGTACCTCTCATCTAGAAAACTGTAAAGCCAGCTTTTTAGAAAGGAGGCACCAATTAACAGTAGGGGAAGAACCTAGAGCACAGACTGTAGGTTCCTGACTGGTGGGAGCCCATGCACGCAAGCCTGGCTTCTCACTAGTCATACCTGGCTACCCCTGGGTCCCTGAGAGCCTCTTTCCTCCCTACTGGCCCCTCTCCCCTCTTCAAATCTGTAAGGTATCCTTTGTTGGGAGGGCACTGGATGAACTTGTCCTACAAGCCAGGTGCCATGTGCCAGGATATTTTGTCTTTGGTTTCTTTAGTCACTTCCTTTTGTTCAATGCCCTAACTGCCTCCTAACTTCTTGTAGGCCTCTCTCCTCATTTTTCTTGTGTTTCTCTCTTATATCACCTTCTCTTCCTCCCCTCCTCCTCCCCCTCCCTTCCCCCCCCCCCCCTTAATGTGTTCTAAGTTAATCAGTTCCCTGCCATTGGCTTTTCTGTTCGGTCTGGTAATTCTTGTCTGCAGCCAGAAAGGGGGCCCTGAGCTAGACCCTGAGCTAGACAGAGAACCGGGAAGCTGGTCCTCCCAGCCCTGTGGTTCTGGATGGTGGATCCTGCCCCTCCCTGGGATGCCTTGGGGTCCATCCTAGAAGTCCAGCCATCTGCTCTGGTGGCCTCCACCCAGCCAGGAACACACATATGGATTGGCTGTCACAGGCCCCTGCCTTTCCTTATGGACCTCATACGTATCCTATCATGGTGAGCTCGGTTCATGAAAGTATTTTTTTGTTGTTTTATATTCCTTATTCCAGTGTTGCCAGAGGCAGAAACGACAGAAGTTATTGCTTCCAGAAAGACTGTTCTTCCAGGGGCAGGCCAATATATAAGGGAGCACTGGTGACAAATGTGCATGATTGCATCAGCAGACAGTTAAATTACAGTAAAAGATGGTCATTTTCTACCTTTGGTAGTTTAAGCTTCTTTCCCTCTCCGAATTTCTCCCCGTGCTCTGGGGGGCTAGGTGTCTGGGCCTGAAAGGGTTTGGGAGGAAGGTCTTCTCTTGCTGCTTTTGAGGATTCATTAGCCCCTTGGCAGCACTCACCTTCACACGGAGGTGGGCATGTGATCCAGAAGGCTCTGCTTAGGAAACCAGATCTCTTAACTGATAGAGCCATCTCATGAGCTGGTAATGCAAGCTGTTGGTAATTACAAAAAACCTACCGTGAAATTCATCTAAAATTAATGAAGAGTCAGCACTGTGGATTTTAAATACAGAGGAAGTTATGGCATCGGCTCTCAGTTACTTGAGTAGATTATTTCTTGCTCATCTTTACGCCTTTAGCTGGCTTCCCTTTGCACCCCATTGTGCCCGTGGGCTCCCTTCCCACTCTGCTCTGCTCGGTTCACATTCCTCCCATACGAACCCATTTTAATGGGAAGCTACCGAAAAATGCTGTGCCTTCCCAAATCAATTGTTTGGGATTGTCCATTCCATTTTTCTCTTCTGTGAACACAGAGAAGTGAAAGGTCCAATGTATTTAAAAGAAAACAGTAAAAATGTATGGAGAACAAATCCATGTGCGTGAAAACCAGCTAGATGAATAGAACATGTCTGCTTTTCCTGACACTCATTTTTTTTTTTTAAGGAACATTGTTCAATACTTTATTTTGTGTGTATGTCAACATTTGAAGGTCTCTAGATCAGTAATTACATAGACTGAGATAAATGGTTAAGGTATTTTGAGGCTAAAATTTGTATTGCTTTGGTGATGTACTTTAGGTGTATCATCCCTTGATTTAATAGGAAGGATCTTTGGTCTATATGTGCTTCTTTGTGACTTGAAGAGCAACTAACTATTCCATTTAAACAGATTTCAGTTAGGACAATGGTTTTTTTTTTTTTTTAAAGATTTTATTTATTTATTTGAGAGAGAGAATGAGAAAGAGAACACATGAGAGGGGGGAGGGTCCGAGGGAGAAGCAGACTCCCTGCTGAGCAGGGAGCCCGATGCGGGACTCGATCCCGGGACTCCAGGATCATGACCTGAGCCGAAGGCAGTCGCTTAACCAACTGAGCCACCCAGGCGCCCCAGGACAGTGGTTTTGAGACATCTCATAATGGTACCGTTCTCAGACTCTTGGGATAGAATTGTCAAATTATAGCAAATAGCGTTAGAAATAATTTTGCAATTTTCTAAGCAGATTGTAATTTCTCCTTCTTTACGTCTAGTTGTTCTGGAAATAATAGTGTAAAGGTACCTTTTTCCAAAACTGATTATTTTCCAAATACGGTGGTACCTTTTGGTTTAGAAGAAATGATAGAGGAAGATTGTGGTCCAGGAGACAAGCAGAGAACAGGGTTTTTTTTTAGCCTTTCTTTTATTACACCTTTGGCCACATTTTTGAAGAGAGACCAAGAATTGCCATATGTGTGAAAGAAAATTGGTAACTGGGTAGACTTGAAATGAAAGTGAGATTTTCAGAGTAACAAGGTCCACTTTCTTACGTGGCTTGTAGAAACAAAGGATGTGCAATCACAGTAGGTCTAGCAGCTGGGGTTGGTGGAAGTGGAGAGTTCATGGAATCTGAAGGATACTTAAGTTGGTATGATATTTAAATTTCCAAGTTAGAAAAAGCTCATCGAGAACAATGGTTTGTTAAAACCAAAATAGAAAATAAATTTTTAAAAAATGGAAGGGGGAATGTGCACGTATGCATCTTATAAGATGTTGAAAAAATTTTAAATACCTGGGACACAGTTTGAGGAGGGGCCCAGAGCACAGTGGGAACAGTGCCTTAAGGATTACATTTGATGTAGAAGCACTCAAAGAAGAAACTTGCCCAGGAGGAAAGTTTCTGTGGAGATGTGCCCTGCATTTTGAGTGAGTGATGTACTGGAGCACTGCAAACTCAACATTGATTTTGATCATTCTTATGAAGCTGGATAAAATAATGTTGTTTCTGAGGAAAAAATAGTTGTTATCATGAAGTGTCAAGAGCCCTGCAGTGGAAAATGCCAACAGCCAAGAATCCCAAACAAATTCCAGAATCAACATCCTAGGTGCAGACCTCACGCTGACATACCATCTTGATTTACCTTACTGTGATGTCCAGTGGGTTTTTGTTGGGCACCCCAGAAATGCACGGGATCCGTACCCACCAAACAGGTGTTGCAGCTAGTACTTAGGCTTCCTAGTATTTTTCCTGGGAAAAAGTGTTTGATCTGGAACAGTTCCCAACTGGGTAGAAACCTTGCTCACCAGAGGTGGCTCTGAGAAACTTTGGTTTCACGTGCCTGGGTGGCTCCGATGGTTAAGCATCTACCTTGGGTTCTGGTCATGATCTCCAGGTCCTGGGATCAAGCCCCGCATCAGGCTCCCGGCTCAGCGCAGAGTCAGCTTCTCCCTCTTCCTCTGCTTCTCCCTGCTGTTCATGCTCTCTCTCTGTATCTCTCTGTAGCAAATGAATAAATAAAAAAACTTAAAAAAAAAAAAAAAAAACAACTTTGGTTTCCCAAAATAACGGGTGAAGTTCTGCTACCCCTTAAAAGAGCGGTGTTTTAACTTTTGGAATATACGCCCCTTCGTGCCTCTGAACACTAGAAAACTACACATGTACACACAGACCCAGTTTGGCCCGTAGGATGTGAAGAACCCTTGATGTAAAATAAAATAGTAAGATGGAAGGTTTTGAAGAGAATGTGAGGAAGGAGTTTGCTGCTGGTACAGAGGCCATTTTCCAGTGGAAGGTAGAGGTGCTCTCTTGGGAGTGTACTTTGTGCGTTGTTGGGCAGTAAGATTTAGCAGGGCTCGAACACGCAGCCAGGCCTATTTTGAGAGAGTTGTACACTCTGAGAGTAGTGCTTCCAGAAGGTGCAACTCCCTGCTGCCCTCAAGAGCTGGGCCCAGTGTTTGCTGTCAGAGGCTTTTGGGAGAAGGTCTTTGTAAGTGCGGTTATTTAGCATGCGTATATCACAAAGCAGTACCAATTCTACATTTATTTCCCTCATTACTCTTATCCTTTTCCCCTTAAGAAGACTGACACAGACATTGACCAAGTGGGTTTTAAGAGCCTAAATTAATTTGTTAGATAAATTGCTTCTTATATAAGTTATAAAGGAGGCATTGCATACTTTATTATGAATAATGTGATTTCAGAATTCTCCCATTTGAGAATATGTATTTTTAAGAAAGTGCCTTATAAGAACTGCATGTATTGGATTTGCAGCCTGCTTTCAAATCCTCTGTTCCACTTTCCAGTGGGGCTGGCATGTGAGACAAGTTGGGAGTGGGGTGGTTCTGGTCCAAAGGCAGGCCCAGGAGCTACGGACACCTTAGAGTTCTGTTGGTGGCAGCAGCTCTGCGATGTCCACTTCTAAACCCCTGGTAGATGGTGACTTGCAGAGGAGCTCTTATTTATGCCATCAAGATATATAGGGTGCCTGGGTGGCTCAATTGGTTAAGCATCTGACTTCGGCTTAGGTCATGATCTCTGGGTCCTGGGATTGAGCTCCCTGTTGGGTTCCCCGTTTGGCGGGAAGTCTGCTTGTCCCTCTCCCTCTCCTCTGTACCTCCCCCGCTCCTGCATGCATGTGCACGTGCTCGCTCGCTCTCTCTATATATAAATAAAAAATCTTAAAAAAAGAAAAAAGATCTAGAAGTCACCACCACCCAGAGGTATTCCCTTTTTCTCCTGAAGGATCCTTTTGTTTGACAGCGGCTGGCTTGGAATTTTGGTTTCCTAGAAGAAATGCATTTTCCCAGCAGAGACAACATTATATATACACAGTGGTTCTGTGGGAAAACAGAGTTAGGAAAGGCTTGTGTTCCTGCAAAGGCTACCACCCGGTAGAGACGATCTGGGTATGAAGTTAGATCTCATTTTCTCCTAGCAAGTGTTATAATATGTTATATTCTGGAGCTAAAACCTGATGCCCAGTTGCTAAAAATATACTGGGCTGTAAATGATATATTTATTGTCTATACCATATGGAATTCTCTGAAAAGGACAAAAACAGGTTACTTAGGTATTAGGTGCCATGTTCTTTCATTCATTCAACTAATAAATATTTAAGTGCCTACTCTGTAGGGCGTATGTTCTGTGGGCTGAGAGGTAATAAGTAGGTAGCCATGTAACACAATGTCAGGTAGTAATACCGTTCTTAAAAATAAGGGGATGGGGAGGCCGTGCTTTTAGGATAAGGTGTTCAGGAAGGTTTTTTCTGAGGAGAACTTAGAGCTGAGTCCTGCCATTGTTTTTACTACAACCAATTTTGGGGAGTAACAGTTGTCTTTGGGGCCATGGAATTCAGTGAGGCTTCTTTGCAGAGATTTTGACCAAGTAATTTGAAGGATCTTTTGAGGAGTTGGGACTTTGGTATCAGTGACCTTTTGAGAGAGTGACTGGCCTTATTCTGGTTGGTACCCTCTTTTTCTTACTGTCAGTTTTCCTGTGGCAGGAACAGGAGGAGAGAGAGTTGCCTTTGGCTGTCATCCTGGCCGTCCAAAGCAGCAGACCGAGCATCTCCCTGCTCTTGGGTTGGCTTCGAGCTTGGCCACTGAACTTGCTTTCTGACAAAACGTTTTGCATGCCCAACGGTCTTTAAAATGCGGGAACAGACCCTTTACTTGTCACTCCACAAGGTCTGACAACCTGAATGCTTTCCCTGGAAGGGTCACCACATCCAGAGGCCAGCTGACCTGGGCTTGGCCCCAAGTCCCAGACACAGAGGCCTGGCTACAGGCTGAAGGGTTAGAGCTGTTGACCTAAGGCTATTTTTTTTTTCCCTCCTCAGTGTCATTTGTAAGCATTGAATCACGAAATTATAAAACAACCTTGTAGGAAATAGTTTATACTTCTTCCAGCGATGCTGTCACTGTTCAAAACCTTTTCTCACACGTGGGGCCTGTTAGTTAGCCCCACGGTTCTCCCCTGTACTTGGTAGTCCCAGGATACATTAATAACCACTATTTGCATAGGGCTGCAATGGACAGACCCAGGGCCATACCTCTGCCCTTAGTCCTCACAACATCCCGTTGTTATTGCTGCCCCTTTGCAGACCAGGAAACTGACCACACCTGTTAAGGAAGGAAGGGCACTAGTCCTACGAGGAGAAGCCCGTATAAAGGCTAGTGTGGAACCTCTTTCATCCCCACACAGATGCTGTGAGGTACACTTTATTTGTCCCCTTCTGTAGATAAAAAACTGAAGTGCAAAAAGATGATGTAACTAGCCTGAGGTCACAAGCTGGTGAGGGGCAGAGCTGGGTTTGCTCCCCATCTGATTTGGAAAAGCATGCTCTTACCATCCTGCCAGGCGCCTCCCTCACCTGCCTGAAGCCGCCTGTCCCTTGCTTCCTTCTTCCCTTTGTCACTCCTGCTCTGCCCTCCCGCTCTTCAGTATCACCTTGGCCACTTTGCCTGGTACCTGAGCCGGCCTCCCCGAGTCTGTGTCAGGCGGGTGGGCGGTGCCAAGTTGAGCAGTGCTTCTGAGATCCCTGGAGGGCTCACAGACTTTACACATTTGTGGACGAAGAGCTTTATACACACACAGACATGCATGCATGTATATACATATACTTACATACGTGTCTGTGTGGAGATACAGAGGAAAATTAAACTGTCACTCTAGCATATCAGACATTCTTACATTTCTGAACATTGTGTGAATCAGTGTAGGTACTAGTTTGTGTTTTTTCCTCATTTATCATCATTTTGTTTGCATATTGCCTCATTTCTATATCATGCACATACTTGCTATTTGTTGTTGTTTTTTAAAAGATTTATTTGAGAGAGAGCGTGCATGCGCGCACGAGCAGGGGGAGGGGCAGAGGGAGAAGCAGACTCCCTGCTGAGCAGGGAGCCCACTTGAGGCTCGATCCCATGACCCCAGGATCATGACCTGAGCCAAAGGCAGATGCTTAACCAACTGAGCCACCCAGGCGCCCCCATACTTGCTATTTGTAAGGACTATGTGATATTTCCTGTTAACACACCTAGGATCCTTGGTTGACTGATTGAGTTGTTAAGCTTTGGGGCCTGGCAAGGAATGTACCTGATAGCATTTCTTCTTCAGGAAAAAAAGTTCTGGGTTTGGCTTAAGAATAAGTGGTTTTGCAAAATTGTTCTGTAAATTAGAGGCAGCTTATTCACCATAGTTTCAGTGGATTTTCGTTGGAAACATGTAGTAGACATTTGATGAAAAACAAATACTTGTTTTTTCCAGATTGGAGTTCACATTTGGATCCCAATGTTAAAAGCAGTCATAACTAAGACTTATAAAGCCTTTTTGGGTGTGATTTACATGTCTAACCAGGCAAAACCCTTTTCAGAAGCTAGAGTAGAGAGGATTGAATCGACAAAGAAAACTTTTTAAAAATTAAGGTTATCTTGAGGCTAAGGATGAAATTGACGGGTGATCACAGAAAACACCTTCCGAAATAAATATCCCAGCGTTCGACTTCTACAGCAGAGGATTGACATCGAGCAAGTAGCTGCTGTTTCCTTTTCCCTGTGGTGTTGGGCGTCATTAAAGGGAGTTGCCCAGACCTGTTTGCTTTGCATTTCAGCCCTTACTGACAATGATGCCTTAGGCAAGTCTCTCAACTTCTCTGTCTCCTAGGCCTCGTTTGAAATGAAAACACAGTTCCTGCCTCTTAGGGCCAAAAGATGGAATGAGGAGTGTCTTGATGTATCTGGGACTTAAATCTTCAATCAGAGTTGTTCTCCGTAACTAAGAACTTCAGATGAATTAGTGCATGCCAAGTGAGCTGCCCGGATGATGCCAAGACTCCCCCCCCCCCCCCCCCCCCCCGCTCCTCATTTTAGGAAACAGTTATTTTTCCTGCTCCAGTTTGAAGTTTCTTGTTTGCTGCCTGGTTTAAGTTAGGGTCCCAAAAGTTGAAGAATTGTGTGTGTGTGTGTGTGTGTAGAATAGTAGATGGCATTAAATTTCTCTTGAAAGATGTTCCAAAAAAGTTGAACGTAGGCAGACATTTCTGAAATGGTTTTATTGCATATGTTACTTGCACAGGATTGTTAGAGGTTCATGACTTCAAGAAAATACTTTGTCATCCAACAAATTCTCTCTCTACTGTTGTGTTTTTAAAATTTTTAAATTATTTTTTAAAGATTATATTTTAGAGAGGGGGAGAGAGAAGGGGGGAGCACATGTGCAGGAGTGGGGGGGAGGTGCAGAGGGAGGGGGAGAGGGAGAGAATCCTCAGGCAGACTCCCGACTGAGCGGAGAGACCGACACAGGGCTCAATCCCAGGACCCTGAGATCATGACCTGAGCTGAAATCAAGAATTGGATGCTTAATTGACTGAGACACCCAGGTGCCCCTGGTTTTCCATTATTTGTGAGGAACCATTTGTCTCCCTTCCTGGTGGATGTGTAATAGTATCAGTTATTGAATCAGAACTTTCAACACCTTTCTGACATCCACCCATGGAGGCCACCAAGTGTCAGACTCTTAACGATGTCCCAAACTGAACCTATTATGTTCCCGCTAAACTGACCCTCCTCTTATTCCCAGACTTGATAAATGGGATCGCTGACCACTGTCTTGTAAGCCTAAAGCCTAAGGCTTGTCCTTAAAAGCACCTTCTTCCTCGTTCCCTATGTCACCCACCAAGTCCCATGCATTTCATCTCTCTCAGTCTCTTTCATCTTCACAGCCACCTCCCTTGTCTGAGCTGCTGTCGCCTCTCACCTAAAATGTAAGAGTGTAACTGACCATTCTGAGTCCTTTCTTGGCCCCTCCCAGTCTGCTTTCACACTGTACCCAGAGTAAGCTTTTCAGAATGTCCATCTGATCACCTGCATACTGCCTCTAGACCACATATGATAACCCTTCAGTTGTTCCTCATTGCTCTTGGGATAAAACCGGTTCCTCAATGTGGCCTTTAAAGTCCTGCATGACTTGGTTCCTGCTCACTCTTCCAGTCTCATGTTGTGTACACTAAACCCACATTCAAGGGTCCTTCTTTGGGCTCCTCCGTTAGGCTGTGCTCCTGCCTCAGGTCCCTTGCTCATGCCATTCTCCCTTGTGGACTGCCCACACTACCATCCTAGCCAACTCTGACTCATCCTTGAAATGTCAGCCCAATTCCCACTTGTTCCAGGGACCCTTCCATGACCAATCCTTAAACTGATTAGGTTTCCCCACTGGCTGTACTCTCTTGGCACCCTTCATGTTCCTTCATAGCTCTTGCATTGATTATTTGATGGTCTCTGCCCCTTGTCCTTCTCTAAGCTCCCTGAGGGCTGTTCCAATACTGTGCTGCTTTGTGCATTGTAAGGCGGGACGCAAATGGCAAGTACTGAGTGCAAAAACGTGTCTCTGCTCTCGGAGCTTAAACTCCACATGTCCAACTAGAAAGGTTTGGCTGAGATGAAAATGTTTGTGCAAACAAACCTGTACCAGTGCATAAATTGTGAAATTAAGAGAGCCTTAGATCTACGATCAACTCCAAATGCTTGTTTTATATACGTAATAAATTGAGAGGAAAATGAGTTTGCCTTTAGGTGTTGTTTTTGAAGTCAGTTTCTGTATGGTAGTACCTTGAGACATTTAGATGAACATTTCGTGGAGTGATTTACATAGGGAAAGTCTGTGGTAGCAACTGCCAGAGATGGTTAGTATAAAAGGGAAGGCAGAGACATCAGTAAAGTCCCCAGGTAATCAATAACGTGGGTAGAACATTTGCTACAAACAACAGCCTCATTTGATGCCACCTCTCACTGTCTCAGTGAAGCCCCAGCTAATTGTGACCAACTTCCCTAAGATGGAAATATGTGCCCATAGCACACAAAAAGGGATGTGCAGTATTTTTAGGGTTAAGATTTTCGTACATGCAATAGAACATTTACTTATATACAGCAATGAAGTAGGGGGGTGGGTAGAACAGGTAGTGCTGAGGGTGATATGGGCCTGCTGGATTTCTTTTTGCTGTAAACTGTGGTTTACTATAAGAAAGTCTTCCCAACGTGGAACATATTTCCTTAATAGGTTGATTATCATCCCAAGCAGGCTTTGAGGACCTGTAACAATAGAGTGAAGAATAAAGCATTTTACCGCCTGTTCTGTGACTTACTGGGACTTTTTTAAAAAGTACTTTTCATTGCTTTCCTGAGTTGTCTTCAGACTCAGGGTCCACCCTGGAGCTGGTGCTCCCGCTGGACAGACAGTGTGAAGGTCTTTGTCTTTCAGCGACGGGCTTGGCATGCAGCTAGTGCTCGGTAAATGTTGAATGGATGGAAGTCCTTCTTCAAGCACAGAGCACCTGTAGAGAGCTTCTGTTGCCTGTGGATTGATTTGTCCTTGGAAACACCCGAATGAGGCAGTTAGTAGGGGTGGAGAGCATGGCCTTGGAGCGTGAGCCCTAGCTCTGCTAGTCAGTGGTTTTGTTGCCTTGGTAAGTTGCCCAGAACACTTTCATCCTTTTTCCTCATCTGCAAAATGTGGGAATAATAATAGCTCCTACCTCACCGAGTCATTAGGCTTCAATGAGATCTTGTTGGTAGGGTCCTGAGGCCTGGCCTGTGTAAAAGTTAATTATCAGAATCCCTCTGATACATCCTCACAGGTCCAGATCGTGTCTGACTTGGATCTCTATGGGCCTCGGCCCTCCTTTCCTCCGAGAAATAATTCCTGCTGCTTTGGGTGACAGGGACATGTACTGCTCAGTACCTAGACGGTGCTCTTTACCATGGAAATTTAAATGGCTGTCATAAAGTTTTTAAAGGAAAAAACTTGTATTTTCAGAAGATGACCATGATACATCTTTATTTAAATAGAATAACTGCCAAACAGGGTCTTTTGAGAACAAGTAATCATACCCCTTGGTATACTTCATCATGTCCACTGGGAGAGAGCATCGTGGTTAATGATAACATTTCTCATGCTGTTGGTGCCCAAACTTCACAGTTTATGAAGTGCTGTCCCATTTATTCTTTCTCCCAGCAATTTGAGGGGTGAGTTTTCGCCATCACGCCCCTCATTTGACAGATCGGGAACTGAGGCCGCAGCGAGGCTGCTCCCGAGCTGGGGCTCTTCCCAGTTAGCCTCAGCTGTCCCGGGCTATCCTTTTGGGTGTTGAATTATCTCTGTGGGATTTTATGGTATCCTAATTACACGTGGATAGCCAGAAAATTTTGCTCCTGTTTGGGCATTTTGCTTTGGCAGAGAGTACTCTCTGAGGACCCACATGAGCTGGAAGACAAAACCCAACAACAAACTCAGCACTAATCATCTGGAAAGGGCAGGACGCTGCTCTTAGGCAGTTGCTGGACCTATGAAGTTGCAGGTCACAACTTTACAGCGTTCACTCCTTTGAAACGTCAAATGGAGCCCCATAACAGCTGTCAGGTTTATCGTGCCTCCAGAATTAGATTAGGCAGTTTAGTTCCAAGCTGTGTACTCGTATTTCTGGTTATGAAATGCTCCTTGTGCGTATATTCCCTGATCTGCCAAGAAACAGCTTTTTCTCTTGTTACTTTGTGCATCCAAGTTTGTTTATTTCACTTGCCCTTCATTTCTGCCTTCTGTCCTGCTTTGGGCCTTGAGACAGTGATGAAACAGACCTTCAGGAATGGGCAGCTGTGGAGGCCCTGGCTGGGGTCGACTCTATACCTAGGGTCCAGGTTTGGAGGGGATAGGACCAGCCCCAAGAGATGAGGTCACAACTCAAGGGGCAAACGGTGCAGTCGAGGGTATCAAAGATCAAGAGCAGAATGCAGTCATGTCCTGTGCCCATGGAAGCAGGGGCCCACCTCTGATTCTTCATTTGAAATATCTGAAGTAGTTCACTGATTAACCTTGATGGAGGTAGGCCTGCCCCTCCCCCCCTTTTTAATGTAGGTTCAGAGCGGTCACCTCTTACAAAGGAGTTGCCTCTAAGGTAGTGCCTTCTAACGTAGATGTAGGCTGGATTAACTAGTTACTGGTGCCGAGGAATAGCTGACACTGTCTCGCCAGCTGAGTTCCTGGTGATTTCATGATTTCATCACATTTTCCTGTGTGTGTAAGTTAGTAAGTAAGTATACTGCATTCCTGATATTCCAAGTTGATTTAGACCAGTGAGTCTCAATTCCATGGTAGGTATTGGGGCATGTGTGTACACATACGTAAGCTGTGATTACTAGGGAATTTTTTTCAAATTATTTGCCTTCTAAATCCCTCCTTCTCAATTATGACAGGTCCTGAGATGGGGAGGGGTGGCCGTGTCGTTTGCGTGAATACATTTCCTAGGATTTTCTGGTATACCTCCCCTCCGCCCAATCCCAAAATGCACTTGCCCTTTGATTACTAGGGATAAGAAGGTGCTCAGAGCTGGCTGATCAGCTGTCCCACCGCAGTCTGCTGGGTGGAGCAGATACAGGCTGGTGGTTCCAACCTGTCATCTGCAAAGGAACCCATGGGAGCCAGGGGGCCATTTTCAGTATTTCAAAAGGCTTAATAGAAACTATGTATTTACCCAGGATAAGGACACAAAAGCTACTCAAATTATCAAGTTTCTTTTCTTCTGTTTGGAATTGCAAGTCTGTGTGGTTTCATGCTGATTCCAAGTTCTGATTGGCTGTAGATTACATAAGAACTTCTGAGACAGGATTGGTCTAACTCTAGACATTGTTATTAGAGCTGGTACCAGGTCTCATTCCCCAAACTGAATGTTCTTACTGCCTTTAGAATGAGGTTGACCTTGACTATCAAAGTTAAGCAACTAATTGTTTCTTGCTTGCTTAGCAATGTTTATCATCATTACACCTGTGGCAGTGATTTGCTTTCATAATGTTATTTAAAACCCTTTATAGGGCACCTGCGTAGCTCAGTCAGTTAAGCATCTGCCTTTGACTCAGGTCATGATCCCAGAGTCCTGGGATTGAGTCCTGCATCGGGTTCCCTGCTCAGCGGAGTGTCTGCTTCCCCCTCTCCCGCTCTCCCATGCTCGTGTGTGCACGCTCTCTCTCTTGCACACACACGCTCTCTCAAATAAAAATTAAAACTCTTTATAAATGTAGATTATTGGTTAAAATTTGGATCAGCATTGAAATGCAAAAATAGTAAACAGAATTAACCAGTTACTATTCAACATCGTTTGTTAGCATTTGCAAAAACAAGTGGCCAAGTGGGGAAGGGACAGAAAAAAAAGAGGTTGCTGGAACTGCAGATCTCATTCAATGCCTTTATTTTTTTTAATTTTTAAAAGATTTTAAAAGATTTACTTATTTTAGAGAGAGAGCATGCACACAAGTGTGGGGAGGGGAGGGGCAGAGGGAGAGGGAGAGAGAATCTCCAGCAGACTCCTTCACTGCTGAGTGAAGTGCCTGATGCTGGGCTTGATCCCATGACTCTGAAACCACGACCCTGAGCCGAAATCAAGAGTCAGACACCCAACCAACTGAGCCACCCAAAGTGCCCCCAGTGCCTTCATTTTAAAAGTGATCCTTTTAACCAGCTCTGCAGTAAAAGCAAAAAAGAACTCACAGTAAAGCACCAACTATTAATCTTTAGTCTCTGTAGCTTCCGAGGATCCCGTTGGCTGTGCTTTCTTTTTTTTTCATGCACACCCTCCCAAGTTGCACTTTTTCATGTTGTGCTACAATGTATAGACCTTTCCTTATTTCTGCTTTGCCCCTGTGTTTGTAATTCTTAATGGTCACAGCTGCCTGAGCTAAACCTGAAGCCAGACAGGTGGGACAGTCTAGTTTGGGTGGTTAGAGAGGCCGGGCACAGGCTGTTTGATCCTTGAGAACGTGGCCAGGGGGGGTCAACTCCGGTCCACACGGATAAAAAAGATGTGCTCTTGCCTGCTGCCGGTGCTGATAATAATAATTTACATATGCCAAATGTTGTTTCTTCATTTTCCCAGCAGCCTTTCTGAGGTGGGCACTGTTATCTCTGTTTGATTTGTAGAATGAGGAGAAAGAGGCCTTTGGTGATAATTTGTCCAGAGTCCCACGCTGGTCAGCGGTGCGGCTGGGATCTGAAGCTGGGTCAGTTTAATGCCTGCATTTGAATTCTTAGCCAGGTTTCTCTGACTTCAGAAAACTTACCACCTTCCACCTTCATCCTCACAACAAACACATCTGTTGTCTGCATTAAAGTCGCAGAGGCTTGATATTAAAATAAGATGGAACAAATGCTGCAGGCGAGCAGGAGCCCCGGAACCTCCTGTCAGCATCAGAGCTTTGTTAGTCCTCCTTGGGGCAGAGCGGGGTGAACAGCCAGCCCACAGTCAGGCTTTTCTTTTGTTCCATCCTGTAGTCGGCCTTGAAGTTTCTTAAACTTGCCTAGGCACAACAATGACCACACGAGATCACCCGAAGCGTTTATACAGTACTTTGCGGGGTAATCTTGGCTATTGGTAGCTTTTTGCCCTGACCTTAGAACCTAATCCCCACTGATGAGTGGCCACCAAGTTACTAATTAGAAGTTATCTGTGTGCCCTGTTCTATCCTCCGGACAAATTAAAAATGTTCCCATGTTCTCCCTGATGCCTTTTGCCATGGCGATGCTTGAAAGTCATCGAAGCAGTTCTGCCGCTGCCTGGAGGGGCCCCAAGAAGAAGTGTTTCCTCTGACTGCCGCCTGGCCCTTATGTGTCTGGGGGCAGGCAGGTCCGATTCCTCTATTTTTCCAGGGTCTTGCTTCTATTGAATGAGAAAATTTTACACATGAGTTAAAACAGACTCGTCCTTGGGCTGGATTGGAAATTGGAGTTCAGACTGTAGAAGTCTGGTTGGGGCTGATGGGTGAGAATTGTCTGGGTTTACACTCTGGGCCTTTGGCTTCCTATTGTCTAGAATTGTCTTTTTCTGGAGTATGGACAGGGGGCCGTAGTTCTAGGGTCCTGGCATTATCTGAATTCAGAATGTGGTTTTGTTTTATGCTCTGTGTGGTTGGAAAGGTACATCTGTAGCACAGTGACATTGTGGATTGCATAAGATTTATGGGCCTAGGAACCTATTTCCCATGTATTTTCCTTCAGGTTAAATGGATTTTGAATTTCAAACAATTGACTTACTGATGAACTTTTGAGACTCAGTCTAATCTTGCGTGAGAACTCACTTTCTATGATTACTTGTGTGGCATAAATGTTGTAGAAGGTCAGCTGAGAGGCCAGAGTTGTCTAGGAGGAAGGTCTGGGGTTCAGTTCAAGCATCACTAGCTTCATGGAGGATATTACTCTTGACGAGGCAGAGGCAAGAGGGGAAGGCATTTCCAATAGAGGGAGCTGCATGAATGGAGGTGGGAAGGAAGATGGTTTTCACATGAACCAGTGGCTCATCAGACCCAACCAGAATGTTGGGAACACGTTGGAGAGTAACTGAAAATAAGGTTGAGTAGATAAAGGGGCCCGGGTTATGTTGGACCCTAAAAGCCAAAGAGATTAGATGAGACAAAAGATAGGTTTTTGAGCCAGAAGAGGGACATGATGAGAGTAGTGTTTAAAGAAGGCTAGCCTGGCTGCAGAATGCCACGGGGGCTGGAGGCTGGGGACGAGGGATGAAACCAGAAAGAAATGTTGAGGTATGAGGTGATGAAAGAAGAACTCAGTCAACAGGACTTGGGGAACAAAAGAGTTTTGGAGGATAAAGAAGAGGACAACATCAGAGATGACCCGTGGGGGTTGGAACCTTGGTGGTTGGAAGATCAGTGGTCCCTTGATGGATGAATGGATGAGAGGGAGTTAGTGTGGGGTCGGGTTGGGTGGACAGGAATGAGGGGACAGT